ACACACACAGCCGCGATTACATTTGCGGCATGTTCATGAAAATTCAATGGGCTGTAACAACGTGGGTGTACAGTAATAAAGCTGGGCCGTGTAACGACACTGCCATTAAACGGCATTGCGGTCGTGAATACTGCGTCACGATACGGCGGGGGACCCCAGGGCCATTATTCGAATTAAATTATTGCAACCGGGCTTTCTCCGACGTAAGAAAACGTATGATTACCTCACCATAATTACGTCATAAAAGATGACACCGCGCTGTGTCACGGTAGATTCATACATGATCGCGAAAACCGTGGTGAGGTTTTGCAAGTTAATGACATTCCGTGTAATCGATTACTCAGCATATCGTGGGGCGTTTAATCAGGTGAGGTGACTCAACGATCCACGGTGAAAATTATTAATCTCTTCACGTGAAGGCTTTACCCGTTGTAGACCTCAGCTTTAAATAATTCGTTCGATATCGTTATTAAATTAATGTCAACACGTATAATAGTTGTTTAAATACGTAAAAGTGGACGAATCGAAAATTTGCAGAATTCGCTGTGTGATTTTTAATTATTCTTGCATTTAAAAACAATCTTCTTGAAATTAATATTTGCGCTGCTTTATGAATCTCGTGTTTTTAATACTTAAAATTGTTTTTAACTCCTCGCTTAATATCGTTAATAATGATTGTTTAAAAAGTTTATTGAGAAATGTCATTTTTCATTTTGCATAAAGTTAAGACGGCTCCCGATTTCGTAGCGGAAATTTGTCGACTTACTTCGGCTAATAGAGAGGGGCACGAGATTTCCGTGTAACCGTTAATTAAGATATCAATCTGCGCGCTCTAGCAAAATATAGGCCGGGCAATAGTAGGGCGTCCGACAGATACGATCTGGAAACTCGGCCACATCTTTTCAAAGACGTCGTGCTGCGGAGCAAAACGAAAGACATCGATTCGCCGTGGCGGCGCGTACATGCACCACTGCAATTCCGGTAGAGCCGGTATAGAGAAAGAGCGAGAGAGAGAAAGAAAGAGAGAGAGAGAAAGACGGGGATAATAAATATCACTTTGCAATCCGTAGTTTCGAGACTGCATTGTGCAAACTATTCGCGCGCAGGCGTGATCGACATTCCGAGACGCGAAATTGGGCCCTGTGGTCCTCGTCGTGCTGCCGGTTAGGCAGGTAGACAGTTGTCGGGTAGGTATTTCTGCGAATGCGTTTGCTTCTTCTTCTATACGGTACTGCTGAACCGCAGGTTTCCGCGTCGCAGCTCCTTATTACATTCGGCATTCTCGACGTTACGGTCACTGCCAGTGCTTGCACCGTCGCGTCGTCGTCGTCGTCGTCGTCGCTGCAAGCGTGAGTTTGCGCATCGTCGTGCAATGGTGACCGCGAGACGCGCGGCGTGCCTTTTCCCGAAATAGCATGCACTTCCGGCGGAGCGTCCGGGAGCCCCGCGCCGCGCGCGCGGAGAAGAAGCTTATCGCGCCGGTAGAAGGTAGAAGTTACTTTTGCATATTCTTGTGCCCGCGAGACAAGAGAGAACTGCAGTTAATGCACGGGAATAGAGAATGGGCGTCGTAAATCTCACGTCGAGTGAGTCTTTTCGGGCTTTTATTTCTTAATCTGAAAGGAGAACACTCGTATCTCTCCTGTACATATTGTACAACTGTGTATATACATATATATATATATAAATATATACGTGTGTTGCATTATAATCTCCTTTTGTTCGATTTCGTGATTCTGGCAAAAGTATCGATATTCAGTACATTCTTTTTAAAGCACATTTTCTCTCAAACTGTGTTCTGCTTCTCCGCGCGGAGCTCCAGCTTTGCTCTGAATGCAATTTATCTTGTTGTGATTATATCTGGAGTATTATTGGCGGGATCTAGGCTAGGTTGATTTATTCCGGACGTCTCTGGCATACGATCAGTTACATAACGTAGAGCAGTTAAATTGTAGAGCTTGCTTGCAACAATGGGCTAACTCACAACGTATATAAGCTGAATATGTGATATTGGCAGAAATGTATTCTTCTCGTTATACTTCGTTTTCTCCGGTTTTTACAAAATGTGGGTTGCAGCAAGCCCTTCAATTATATAGATATATATTGTTGATCTGATTTTATATACGTTTTTGTTTTTCACTACGCTCTCTCGTATCTGAAAAGAGAGAGAGATTATTTATACTATAATTTTATGTGAGGAAAATCGCGATTGATCCTCTGAATATGCATGCTCGTGCTTGTCGCGAGAGATAATTAACTATTCTACTTGCGACGTCACGAGTATTTCGATCCCTTCTTGGCTACAAACTTCATTCCTTGTAATATATATATAATGACATTTGAGTTCTCTGAATATAATTACGTAACTTCCACCATCCCTATCCTGTAAGCCACCGCGATTGACGATTGGGATGTGCTTTCGCAAACTCGGTCTGATTATGCAGACAATAGTTACTCCCGGTTCTGTCCGATGTTGCTTATCGAATCCGTAACTTTTCTATACACCTAAGAGTTACGAGACGCGAGACCGTAACTCCTTATTGCGGTCAAAACGAAGGAAACGTACGTGCTGGAATATGTACCGTGGGGCTTATGGTTCCTTCCCCGGGCTGGCGGAGACAGAGTGCCGCACGCGAGAAACACTAATCCTAAAATACACGTGTCACCGTTGTCTGTCATTTACGGAAAACGCACACGCAAGCGGGCGGATTTGAAAATGCGGGGGAAGCACGCGATAGAGCACGTTTTCCGTATCGCAGGCGCGTCGCTCTAAGCAACATTTCTCTCTCCCGAAACTGCCTAGAATCTCCACAAAATTCGCCGACGCGGTGGCGAACTTCTGCCATAATGGATGGCGTCGCAATTTCTCACGACTATTGCCACGAAGGCGGATTAATTTACGTTTCTCGCGCTCATTCGTTCCATTTGAGCGAATTATCAAGCGGAGGTACGAAAATTCCCATTACAAGTGCAATTATCCCCCTTTTATTCACCTTTTTTTACTACTTCTTCCCTCCCTCCTCCGTGTTTTTTTTTCTTTTGCGAAGTTTTCGTGAAACTGGTGCGTGCGGTACTCGGTCATTCGTTCGCCGAATTAACGCTCCATTATGTAAAGCGGGTGAATTTCCACACGCCGCCTGGTACATGGCTTTCGCAATTACGCAAAGTACACCGCGTATCAACTGGATATTCCTCGTTGTTATAAAACGCCATTTCGGGTGTTGGCACGTTCATTCTGAAATACAGATTTTAAAATTTGCATGGGCGTTGCATGCAAAGCCGCCGGGGTAGGAGGCGAGGAACTTGCTATTTAAGTCCAACCTATTTTCCCGCACGCACACGATGAACGAATAATATACGTACGGCTAGGCAGGTACTCTCAGGTTCTTCTAGAAAACTCGATTATAACGGCGCGAAGAGAACTGCTTTTCTCACTTGCAACAATATATCACGCGTCGACGACACCGTAAAAAAAAACTATGTATGTGAAAAAAAATTAGAATTGAATACTAATTAAAAACAAAAAGATACAATTGCACGAGAATATATTTTTTGAAATAATCAAACGAAAAGAACGATTTTGCTGGATACAGATTTGAAAATAATGTTATTGGATTATCAAAATTTTGTTGGAAACTCAAAAATGAAGAGCATTGCTGTAAAACGTTTTGATATTCTAGCAACCAATTTGAATTTTCAACAAAATTGTTTTAATAGTTCAATAAAGTTATTTTCAAACTGTATAAATTATTAGAATACCACATGCGATTTAAAGTGGATCTTGGTGCTTAATAATTGTGTGGATCTTTTTTTATAATTTCCAGTTCACGACTGCGCGCCGAATATTTCTCATACAGATCTGAAAATAATTTTGGCTGAGGTAATATTTTTCGCAATAAGTGTTCTACGAAATTTAATAAGACGCCCATCGGCATCAAAATTATTAAATTGCTTGTTAATTAAGTTTGTGACATTATGTGGTTCAGATTCAGGTTTGAAATACAGCTTCAAACTGATTGTGAATCTTATTAAATTCTGTAGAATAACTTGTTGCGAAAAATATTATCTCAGTTAAAATTATTTTCAGACCTGCATTCAGAAAATTTTTTAGGTCCTCCAGCAAAATCTATTTTTCCTTTTGATGTGGAATATTTATAAAATAAAAGTACGCGAATTTAAAAGATCTAGTAGTCGTTCCGTTCGTAGTCATTCAAGTAGAAGAGTGGCACAGATTTGGACAATTACTATTTCATTGATACAGATTGGATGTATTTCATGTCACAAGTAAGAAACTTCGATGCTCTTTATTACGGAAACGTTAGACCACTGAGGCGGCGAATGAGGTAATTAAGGAAACTGTTAACTGCAAAATCCGATTTATCTGCGACGATTGGCTTCGAAGTTCGGCAACGAGGCAAATGTTCCCCGTGAGTTTCAATCAGCCCTCCTTAGAACTGGTATTTTGCAGCCCTAAGACGTTCGGAATGCGATTATAATAAATTCTTGACTGAAAGTCGCCGAAGTACCCAAATCCTCTTTCCGGTGATGATAGTCGAAAGAAAGTGGCAAGAAAAAAAGAGGCCAGTTTTTTTTTAACACTATAGACAGTAACACTATAGATTACTATGTCACGGTAGCTTGCATTTCAGAGGCATTGAAATTGCGATTTGCATGTAAAACGAAATGCGTTTTTTCTCATATTTACGAGAGGATGGTACTTCAATATTCTTTGCTGAAATATCCGATATTCTGCTAATATTCATCCCTCTTTTTTTCTACCCGACGATTATGAAAGCTTTATACGTTAAGCTTGATGAGGACGAGTCGGCAAAGATATTATAATTAGAATGCTTTCGCATTTATACATGCGAAAAGATGTAACGCATAACTGTTGTACCATCTCATAATTTTGCGCGCGGATAATATTTAAATAATATATTTCGAATAATATTTTTTATATTTCCTTTTAACTAACGTTACACTTTCTTCTTGCGTTGCAGGTGATTACTTGGGCCATGTTTGAACGGAGCCGCGAACAGGTATGTTTAAAAGTCTCATTCGAGCTTATATTAGAATACGTTTCAAAACCGTATCCCCCTCCCCTCTCCTTACTGTCCTCCCGCCGTATGAAATCTGTAACGATAAATGTAACGCACTGGTTATGCAGCGTTGCACTACTGTATTACTATATACAATAATATCGGAAGCATTGCCGACAATATGCCGCAATATGCACACGTCGCTTACTTTTCGATTTCCGTTGAAAAAAAAAATTGAAATGCAATTCTCCTTTATGACGTTATACGCTCGTATTGTCGTCAATGTAAACCGTTCAACGTGACGGGCCCTATTTGTCCCGGGGAATATTTTCGTTGTTTGGCAAAATGTAATTTCCTTGCGGCAAGGGGGCCACGGCGGCGCGCTTTTTGGAAAAGGAGAGAAAAAAAAGCGAAATATCGAATGCGAATAATTCAAATGTCATTTCTCAGTCGGATTTGTCGGTCCGGTGCCCGCATGCTGCCAGACAATATATCCGATAAAGTGCCGAAAGCAATCGCCGTCACCCACTCGGCGTAAAAAAAAAGCTTATTTATGGAGCAGCCGTCCGATATCCGGCCTAACTTTGATTGTCACCCCGGCACCCTTATACTGTCACAGCTTCCCTCTCGTGACGGACGTAGACGATGATCCATATACCGTTTCGGATTGTTAACTAGTGTACGCCTCTCTCTCTCTCTCTCTCTCTCTCGGAGATTTTCGGGGTCGCGCGCGCCTCGCTCGTTTTCGGCGGAAATATTTCCCCACACCGTTCCGCGCAGAAGAATGCATCTGTCCATCCCGCGAAATTATACCTTGCGATACATCCGCGATTGTATCGCGCATCAGCAAAACAACCACGGGTGCTGGTGATTTAATTAAATTGTCTGTTTTCCAGCAACATGTAATTGAAATGCAACTTTTAGAACGTCAATATACAACAAATGTACATGCACATTTGTTGCGCACGTGGAAATATGTTCTCCGCGGCCGCGAGAGAGAAAATATCGTTGAAACGCGCGGCTTCGTTTGAACAGAATAACTATTAGCTGCCGCTTCGGCTTTCCGCGTTTTATTTTATTTTATGATTTTTGTTTGTATTTAAAATTTGCAATTCTGAAACTTGCGCGCACGTATATATCCGCACGGCTTAAAACATTAAATAATGAATAGGGCTCGCCGCGGCGATAGAGAGAAACTCATTCAGACTTCTTACCGTCGATTTGATTATTTAAAAATTAAGGATATAATCAAAGTAAAGGCCTATTATACAGAAAGCCGACACAGATGCAGTTTGTATATAAAATTTTTATTGTTACAATATCCAACCACATACGAAACTGCGCGCTGCACGATTTGTCGGTCTTGAAGAAGCACTTGTATGAAGCTGGAATCTTCTTGTTAAACAAATTAAATTGGCAAACAATTTAATATCATTTTCATGCTAATATGCATTTATAAGAATCCCCTCGCTCTAAATCTGTAAAGAAATTTGATTTTTTTTTCAAAACCGACCGTGCGGCGCGCAGTATGTGATTGGATATTGTAACAATAAAAATTAATACACACCAACACCCGTGTCAGCTCTTATAGGCCTTTACTTTACTATATTTGATTTATTCTCGGGAGCCTATTTTCTCATTTAAATTATTTAAGGATATAAATTTTTGAACTCCACGCTACGTATTATTTTCCATCGAAATTTTTCTACTTGACGATGCTCGCCACCGCAATGAAGCGAATCTGTAAATTGAGCCTGAAAATTTCGGTTTGGATTCGTTAATCAATAAATGGTCAGATATCTCATTATTGCTGCGAATAGGGAATTAAATTACCTATATGATCATTTATTGATTAACGAATCAAAAGCGGGTTACAAGCCCGCATTTACGAGTACCGTTATCTAGAAAAGCTCATTTATTTCAATGTAATTGCAATATAGTATAACGATAATTACTCGGAGATCTTAATTCTTCCGTGATAATATCTGTTGAAAAAAAATACAATATAGTAATAAAACAATTTTAATATATATTTTACTTTATAAAATGTAAGATATAAAAGGGTATCATACACACAGTTTAACATTGCTTTATTACCATTTCGCATGGTAACGTGAAATTACACGTGCAATTATATCAGACCTTCAAAGTTCTCGTTACTGCTATCGTCTTTTTTTTATCGGTACAATTGTTGTTTCGTATTTTTCCTTATCTTCCGCAAGTGACGCTTCGGCAAAAAGTCTCGGCGCGAAAGCGCCATTTATGCGAAAATATTTTCGATTATTTTCTAAGGACGAAAAACCGCGATGATCTCGCCGATGATCCGAAGGAGCGAGTCTGCACGCTAATGGCGGCGATTATCGTGAAAGCGGTGGCTTGGCCGTTACGTTTCTTGCTCGAAAGAGTTGTTTAATACTTCGCTCCCGATCCCACGGTGATAACCCAATTTATACCCGTCCGCCATACGTATACGAGGCGGCAGGTCGGCCTCGTTGCAGAACTCCGGTAAACAATGCCGAAAGCTGTTTTCGCGGGTCAAGAAGGGTTGCGAGTCAGCTCGCCAGGCACGCGCTCGAGAAAGTCACGTTTTTACACCCGGCGGAAGACGACTGGCGCACATACACCACGCACAGCCGCTATAAAAAGCTCGTTACGACGCCACTTGTTGTCACAGCCTTCCCCTTCCCTTGCCCCTCCCCGCCGCCTGAACCCTTTCGACGGCTCTATTATAACGAAAAGTTCATCTCGTGGACACTTCCTTTCGCTTGCGAGGCCGGGAAGAATATCGCCGAGGGGGTCGATGCTTGCTCGACGGTGGCTTTTGTCCTCCGACGAGGAACGTAAAATTGCATCCCTCCGCGACCGATATATACATACATTCGCCGAGACATACAATCGACTAAACCTGCAGCCTTTACATATAGGAGCAGCAAAGATAAGCCCGGAATATTGTAAACACCAATAAGTCAATAGGACGTAAAATGCGTTTCCTCCGCTATATATGTAATATTCCTTTTCGATTATATTATATATAAGCCTCTCTTTTCGAAAATGCGCAATTCATACGTTTGCTACCTCATTTGTTGGAAACAATGGCTATTTTACAATTTGCAATTTTGCAAATGCAGTGTAATGTTAATAATTAAAATTAATAAATCATTATACATTATTACGATACGAAATTGGAGATGTGTGTATCGCGCTTTATGTGGAAAGCTCTTTCATAGAAATGGATTTGGTAATTGATCCGAAAACAGAATTATATTAACGCTTGTGTATTCGTTTTCTATTGCAAGCTAGAAACAGACTGAAACTGGTATATTTGTGAATCAATTATTCTAAATTTGGAATAATTCAAACGAAAATTTTGTTAATATTAATTGAATTGTTTGATTAATTCGATACTTGTTAATTATTATTTTCATCAGAAGCATTTCTTTATATTATTAGACAAAATAGTAACGATGTCTTTCCGTACAGACAAAATATGTATATCATAGCGATAGAATAAACACACATCCAATTTTGGACTCCAAATACACCGTTAATATTTGCGCACTTTCACAAGATGAAATCGTCGATTATACGAGCGAAATTCCTCATTTAAACTATTCTTATATTTATTTAGTAATGCAATCAGAATCTATATATTTTGTTATATATATTTTATAAATGGAAGGTAAAAATTGCAAATTGAAAAAAAATGTAAAAAAAGAGGGGGAGAGAGAGAAAAAAATTCCGATAATAATCATCTTATTTATTTTAAATTAAATTAAACAATTTACTCGGATCAATTCGACTATCAGAATATCGATATGTACAATATATGCTTACCAGCATATATTGTACACATCGATATTTATCGCATTGTTATTTGCGCTGTTTCTATATTTGTTCGTAAAATACAGCATGTAACAAGTGATTGTGAAAAATTTTACAGCATTGATATCGGCCGAGAATATCTGAGGTATGATATTCTGAATTTTCTCTCATTCAAGCATATTTTAAAAAACGCATGTAAATATTAAATGCGCGGAATCATTTCTATAATCATCTTAAAACGCTTATGTATAACTTTCACTTGCAAATAATAATTGATTAACATAATGAACCACAGCAAGGAATAATAGATGAATGAATAGTTGATCAGGACGGTCGGACGGTCAGGAATAATTCGCGAATATGTGAATTTGGAGGTGCAGTGTGCGTCATCTTGACGAGATAAGCTACTCAAATTACCTGACCTCTGCGGTCTGCGTGACCACCGCAGGTTTCCCCGCAAAGCGTCAAAATTAGCCATTACAATCGGTTCGTAATGGCCGATATGTGTGCGTATGTGTGTGTACACAGGCGGTATTATCAACAGATGAAAGCACCCGCGGGAGGGTTGTGCCGAAAAAAAAAAAAGATAACCCTCAGGACAGTGGCGAAGCGCTGTATGACGTCGGTCCAATTATGGCCAGATTGCTATCACGTTTTTGAAATCGACACTTTGCGCAACGCCCCATCGCGATGGAATCTCGAACGTCCCCCGTGCTCACGCGTATTTTTTTTTTTTTATCATCCACTTTGTCGGCCCGCCGGCGTAGATAGTCAGCCTTCGATATTGAATTCTGGAGATGCGAAATGCCGCTGAAACGATTGCACCCGCCGCGGTACGTTCTATTTCGCGTGAATATCGAGTAGCAGCCGGCGAGAGCAGTCGACTTCCCCCCTCCACCCCCCCGATCGCGAGTTATTGTCTGCTACCGACGCCTCTTCGAGTCCCATCGAAATTTTCTTCGCGGTCCTCTATCTGCGCGCACGTAATATGAGTATGCACGCTCTTGCGAGACTCATCGGGCGACGTTCCACTAGCGCGCGTGTCATTCGAGATGATGTCAGGGAAGAGATGCACTTTTCTTCGCGACACCTCCTCTCTCTCTCTCTCTCTCTCTCTCTCTCTCTCTCTCTCTCTCTTTCGCGTACACTTTACACACTGCGCGCATTCGCACGGAGAT